TGGTGGTGGCACAGGGGTGATTTGGTGATGGGAAACCCGTGGGGATTACAATTGAGATGAAAAAAAAAATGTGCAAAATGATGTAAAAATAAACTTTTTAATAAAAAAAACTCATTAAAAACAAAGTAGTTTAACAATTGAAGACTTTTATATATGGTTATAAAAGTGACATGTTCGATGAATGCAAAAGATTTGCCATTGTATTTATATTCTAATGTTTACTCCCTTCCTAAAAAATACTCAGAATTAGTTCCATCTGAAAATCAAATTTTGAATAAATAAATATCTAAATTTCATAGTAGAGATTGTGGCCTTTGTAAGATTTTAACTAAATGACCTCTGAAATTCATTCCTGTTACATATGAAAATGCTCTACCATTTTTAGCTTCCATCTTCTATTTCTAAATGAGAAATCCTGTCTTTATGTGCAGTGCATGAATTAAGCAGATTTCATGTATTTGTTTATAAAGATTGATAAATACAGAAAGACATTTAATTACTGATTCTATGCCATTTTTCTTCTTGTACCTTTTTCAACAATAGGGTAGTCTATAAGAAAAAACAAGTTGTTCCTACATTGCTCTTTCTACTATATGAGGACAAACTTAGATCAAGAAGAAGCACAAAAATGTGTTAGCAATTTAAAGTATTCTTATGAGTCTTTACTTCAACATTCCCCTAATTCCTTCAGAATAGTACAATTTTTTTATTAAGTCATTAAAGGCTTGAATCACTTGCTTGTTCCTCAGAGTATAAATAAATGGGTTCAACATGGGGGAAATGGAAGTATTTAGTAGTGTGATCCCCTTATTCATGGTCATGTCATCTTTTGCTGAAGGTTTGGTGTAGACAAAGATGCAGCTGCCGTAGGAGATAGAAAGCACAATCATGTGGGACGAGCAGGTGGAAAACGCCTTCTTCCTTTGCTGAGCTGACGGGAACCTCAGGATTGTTCTGACGATATAAACATAGGACAAAACCACACACACGAGAGTCAGGATGAAGATCAACACCGAGCAGATAATGACCATCTGCTCTAAGAGCACAGTATCTGAACATGAGATCTTTATCAGGGGGTTAACATCACAGGCAAAGTGGTCGATGGCATTGGAGTCACAGAATTCCAGGCCCAGTAACAAAAAAAACAGTGGTATTACCATTAACAAAGCAGTCACCCAGCAGCAGAAGACAAGCATTTTGCAGACCCTGCGGTTCATGATGGTCACATAGTGCAGGGGTTTGCAGATGGCCACGTACCGGTCATAGGACATGACCGTCAGGAGAAAAAATTGTGTTATTACAAACACATATACAAAAAATATTTGGCTTAGACAATCATTATAGGTAATGGTCCTGTCGCCTGTTGACAGACTATACAAGAATTTAGGAATGCAGGCAGAAGTGAATGAAATTTCTAGAAAGGAAAAATTTTGGAGAAAATAGTACATGGCAGTTTTAAGGTGGTTATCCACTAACACGAGGAGGATGATGGTCATGTTTCCAGTTATACTCAACAGGTAGGCAATAAGTAGAGATACAAAAATTATTTTCTGGAGTTGTGGGTCATCAGTAAATCCCAGGAGAATGAACGTGGTTATTGCTGTGTGGTTTCTCATTCCTGGATCCTGCCTTCCAGCCAACCTGTACCTAAAGCTGAGAAATAACACTCAGGAACTGGAAAAAACTATTTTCAAATGAATTTTTGGCAAAATTAGATAAACAATTCATTTTATTCAGCTAGATGATGACTTTTTAAAACTATGCTTTTCGCTCTTTGGATTTTTTTTATTGTTTGAAATTTATTTTTTTTCAAATTTGAATACAATATATAGGAGAAATACATTTTGTATTGCAATCTGGTCAATATGTATGCATCCAACACTCATATATTATTGCATATCTTTAACATAATTATGATAACTCACTAACGCTAACTGTACTGATTTCATGGTTCCTTTCTCACCTCACTAAAAATAAAGTAAACATTAAAGTAATAAAAATAAAACAAATGAAACATCTAAAAAGAGCTAAAGGACTTATATAATGAAAATGATGAGATATATTTAAAAGAAATAAAAAGATGATCTCTGCTCATGGATTGAAACCATTAACATTGCTATATGACCATCTTAACCAAAAAGAATCTACAAATTTAATGCAATTCCTATCAAGATTTCAGTGGCATTCCTCAATGAAATATAGTGAGCATTACTGACATTTTTCTGGAACTGCAAAGTTTTCTTAAGAGCCCAAAACAATTCAGCCCAAAAAGAAAAGAATAAAAATGAATATATCACTTTTCCAGGCTAATATAGAAATTAAAACGATATGGTACAGAACTAAAACACATAGGCCTAAGTAAAATGTTCACATCTATTGATAGTTAGTCCATGAAAAATGAGCAAAGAATATACATTGAAGAAACAACAGTCTCTTCAACAAATGATGTTGGGAAACTGGAGACTCACATACAAAGAATGAAACTAGATCACTGTCTCTCAATTTAAACAAATAATTCAAAATGGATTAAACACACAGAGGTAAGACCTGAAACCAAAAAATACATTGAAGAAAACACAGGCAAACACTCTACAGCATCAGCTTCAGTGATGTTTTGAACCCAATAAAGTGGGAGAAAATATTTTCACATCATACATTGACAAAAGGCTGATAGCCAAGATCTATGTATCAATAGAATTCATTCAATTCAATAAAAATATGACAACCCATCAAAAAAATGGGCTAAAGAGCTAAATAGACACTTCTCCAAAGAAACTGTACAAATGGACAACAGGAGCATTAAACAAAAGTTAATCATCATTTATTATCAGAGAAATGTCAATTAAAACTAGATTGAGATGCCAGCTCATACCTCTGACAATGGATCCATCACGAAGACCAGAAACTCTAAGTTTGAAAGGGGAGTGGAGAAAAAAGAACCGTTGGACACTCTTGGGATGATGGATTCGTTCAATCCCTTTGGGAAACAGCATGGAGATTCCTAAAAAGAGTAAACTAGAGCTGCTACATGACCAGCATTCCCTTCCTGGCTATCGGCCCTAAGGATACGAAAACACTAACGTGCAGGAATAATCTCTCATTTTCACTGCAGCACACAATTTACTATAGCAACGGGGACCAAGACATAAGTGCCCAAGGACAGAGAAATGGGCTATATATATGCAATCCGATACCACTCGCTACAGACGGGGATAAGATTAGCTCCACCGTCTGTGGCAGCGTGGATGGACCGTCGCTGTAATGCTGAGTGAAACAGGACAGTGACAACACCTGGGGGTTCATGTATGTGCGGGACAGAGGGAGACAGAAAAACCTCAGGCCAAGCTTAAAGAGTAACAATCTTGGAAACAGGATTTGGAATCCAGGCTAGACCATGGGAGCTGAGGGTTGCAGGACAAAGTGGATGGCCAGATGATAAGGGGGAGAACTGTGGGTACCTTGGGGTGTCACTTGGTGACGTGCATCTCAGGAGGGTGAGCCGCTGTCTCTGAGTCATGGACACGCTGTGCATCAGTGCTACCTCAATGGAAAGGTAAATGAATACACATTGAGTGCAGTCAACATCGTTCAAACAAACATACGATTATTTTCCCTGTTTTTTGACCGGGGAAGAGTCTGTGCTATTCATTACTGACCTGTCCATACGAAACCTTTCCTTGATCACTGCTCCAAATTTCATGTGGACAAACACAGCTTTCTGGAACAGCTGTGAAGAGTACAGGCAGGAAAAACATTCTCAGATTTGAGTGATAAACAAAACCAAGCCCGATATGAAAGGGACATTGCCAACCAACAGGCATTACCTTGAGGGGGCAAGGTCCTGATTCTCGACAGGCCTCTATTCCTCAAAAGCTTTGTGAATTCTTTTAGCAGAGGACAAGAGTGCTGGAGGAAAATTACAGTCAGATGCTTCTAAATGAGATCTCTACCGTGGGGGCCTGACACAGCTTCTCTGAGCTGGCACTTAAGGAGGAAAAAGGACCTAGGTCTCTGGCTTACTTCCCCTCCGGCCCCTCCAGGCCACCACAGCCTTCTTGATCAAGGAGAGTAACAGTAGAAGATAATACCTATTTCTTCCATACATGCAAAAAGCTTCAGAAAGCTCAGAGCATTTCCTTGTTCTCGACTTTGACATGGAATTGGAAAATGATTTTCTCCACACCTAGTAGTGAGGTGGAAGTGAAAGGACTGTGGGCCCCTCACACATTTGCTTGGATCCAAGTATACAGCAGAAATGCAAAGCATGTCTCAAACGCCCACACAAGCCACCGCTGGCCGGGAAGAGCCACACAGACAGGGCCAAGAGAAGCA